CCTAAGCACAGGGGGTGGGGGACTGAGAGACTGGACAGAACAAAGATGAAGGAGGAGAGGAGCAGAGAACCAAGGGCTGCCAGACTTCACGGCCCACCGTCTCCTTCCTATGAATGGAGAGATGAGTCCAGAGCTAATTACTGCTAATTGAAAGTTTCTCCTTCATGGACTGAGGTGGTAAGGGGAGGGGAGGAAAGCAATGCAGAAATTGGACTCCAGATGCTAAGACAGGGTTGTCTGGCTTCCTGGCTGGCAACGGTCTCTCCACCTCCCTGTCCCTGCCATAGGCCAGTACCCTCCTATCTTTCCAGGGTTACCCTGAGAGCCAGAGAGCGAAAGTTGTGAGCTTCAGGTATCCCTCAAAGGAAACAAGCCTATTAAGAATCTATTTGGGGATAAGAGCATCATTTTATAAATAAAAATATCAGCGTCCCAGAAAGACCAGATGTCAGCAAAAGCTGCTTTGGGTTTTGAAAGAGTAGGTTTCTAGAAGATGCCAATCAGAATTCTGTAGTGGCCTCAGGGCTGAAAGGGAGAGGGCCTAGGATTCTCCTTTCTGGATCTCTTATTGCAAATAGGGAATTCTCCTTCCATCACTAGAGTTTTGCCCTGAAGATCAGCACCTAGAAAGGCCAACAGGGCCACTCTTGGCATTGCCCATCAGTGTATACTGGGTGCAGAGAGGGCCCATGCAAACATGAGTTTATGGTTGAAAGCCTCGGCCATTCCACATGAATCCAGGCATGGTAAAATACTGCAACACACTGTAGATTCAAACAGATGTGGAGCCAAGGACACCCTCCTAAACAACCAGCCATAGCTCCTCCAACATCAAGAGAGAGTGCACCACACTTGGGAAGGTTCCTGTCCCCATCCACCACATCCCTGGCACTGAGGATCACTCTCTGGATAGTGATGTCAATCTGCTTCATCGAATTCAGGCTACTGATGTGGATCTAATCCTATGTTCCCTTCCCCCATGTGTCTTCAATCTGTTTTGTGTGTTTTATCAAACATGTCACATGGGCTGGGTACCTGTAAGCAAATCCGTTATTGCTAAAGGAGGCAGCAAAGATTGCTAAGGGGATCTACTGTGCTAAGTCTTAATTTAGCTACATATCTGCTCCTCATCATTTCTGTCTGTTTTACTCACAGTTTACTCCTAGATATATACCCAAGAGAAATTAGAACATATGTCTACACAAAAAATGTGTACACAAATATTTATAGCAGCATTCTTTGTAATAGCTAAAAAATGGATACAACCTCAATGTCCATCAACTGATGAATGCATTGACAAAATGACAAATTGACAAAAACCACACAATGGAGTATTATTCAGTCATAAAAACCAATGAAATACTACTGACACCTGCTACAACGTGGATGAACTTTGAAAACATGCTAAGCTGGACACAAAACATATTGTACGATTCCATTGACAGGAAATCTCCAGAAGAGGCAAATACATAGCGACAGAAAGGAGAGTAGTGGTTGCCTAGGGCTGGCAGGGGGAGGCTGAGGATAAATGGAGAGTGACTTCTTGGAGTGATGAAACTGCAGTGATGGTTGCACAACTTCTTGAATTTACTAAAAGCCATCGAATTGCAAACTTTAAACAGGTTAGTTGCACGGATATAAACTGTATCACAATAAAATACTGTTATAAAATTAGTAAGGGACTTAAGACGTTTTGAGATCCCAAGACTGAAAAGAAACATGAACAAATCTAGGGTTTGACCAACCTTATGGTGTTAAGTTTAGGGTGCTGGTCAAGCTCCCCAGAGAATTCCCAGCACACAAAGATCTCTTCTCCTAGCCCCCACATAGAATGGGCCTCTGTCCTTCTCACAGAACGTCTGAGGGGGAAAACGCATATGGAAATTCACCCCAGCAGCAGACAGAGGAAATGGGATGTGCTCATGTGTGCCCGGCACATCCAGGTGAGCAGTAAAGGTGCTCCAATCTTGCTCTCTGCACAGCTGCCTCCCAGGTATGCTGCAGTTCAGAGGACACAGCCTACGTTCTCAAGCTCACACGCTGGGCCTGCTCCATGCTGGTTACTCCAGCAAGGTAGCCTTGTAGGGGAGGAATCTTTGGGGCCGAAACAGCTCCTGCCTGGGATGCCACTCCAGCCAGAGTAGGTAAAGGAAGAAAGTGATCAAAGAGGGCTCAGAACCCGACTGGAAGAACAAGAGCCTGGTGTAGAAAAGGCCACCTACTATTACTTGGTATAGATTTCAGCCAGGGAAACCCTTTCATTGCTGCAAAAGTAGGTAGCCTGCAGGCATAGAGTGGTCTCAAAGGTTTCAACAGGGCTAGGGGATGCTCCAAAAACCAAACAGCTTGCTAGCTAATCCTCATCCAAGCCAGAGGCCAACAGAACAGGGTCTTGGGGCTAGCACCCAACCCTGCCCTCATCTTCTGGACTCTTCTCCCCAGCATGAGATCCAGGACAGGGAAGAACAGGGCCCTGGGAGAGGAGCTGAACTTCCATGCGCCCATGGCAACGCCTTCCCTCTCATGCCTCGATAAGTGCAGTAGCCTCCTTCCAACTGTCCTCCTTGCTGTCTTGCCTCTCCCTGCCTGGAATAGTCCTTATCAACACCAAGAAAATTCTTCTTCCTAACATGTTATTTGGGAGCTCTGGTAGGGTAGTGCCTAAGGCACCTGACTGCTAACCAGAAGGCTGGCGGTTCAAACCCACCAGCCACTCCTCGGAAGGAAGATGGGGCAATCTACTCCTGTAGTGATAACTGCCTCGGAAACCCAAGGAGAGGTCGCTATGAGTCAGGTCCGACTCCACAGCACGTAACAACAACATGTTATTTTGGTCAGCAGCGCCATTCCCAGGGGAGGACAGAGTCTGAGGGCAAACCTTACTACATAGCCCTTACATTTTTCAAGTTATGCTCTCCCCCCCCCGCCATTAGAAAAGCAACATATCTTCATTGGAAAATATTTATAACAAAGTATACATTAAAAAAAGGAATAAAATAAAAACCACCTTCAGATAATCATGTTATCATTTTGCTATATTTTTATTTTCTCATAAATCCACTGGGAGCTCTGGTGGCATAGTGACTAAGGCATTTGGACTGCTAACCAGAAGGCTGGCAGTTCAAACCCACCAGCCACTCCTCAGAAGGAAGACTGGGCCATCTACTTCCATAGAGATACCACCTCGGAAACCCAAGGAGGGGTCGCTGGGAGTCGGAGTCAACTCGACGGCAGTGAGTTTGGTTTTTGGTGACAAATCCACCAGGCACATGAGTCAATTCCAACTCGTGGACAACCCATGTGTGTCAAATACATATAATTAGCAGCAAATGTTGCACAACATGAAGAATGTCACTGAATTGTGCGTGTGGAAATTATCGAGTTGGTGAAGGTTTTCTTGTGTATATTTTTACCACAATTAAAAAAAACCTGTAACTTTTTAATGTAACTGGGACTATATGTTTCGTTTGTTTTATAAACATTTTATTTTTTACTTACTATATTATAAATGTTTCCTAATTTCATTTAGTATTCTGCTCCAACATAATTTGTAAAATGACTGCCCAGTCTTTTCTTATCTGAATAGTCATAATTTAGAAACCATTTCTCTGATGTTGGACATAAACCAAAAACCAAACCAAACCCACTGCCATCAAGTCGATTCTGACTCATAGCCAACCCTACTGGGTTTCAAGGCTGTAAATCTTTACGGAAGTAGATTGCCTCATCTTCCTTCCACAGAGCAGCTGGTAGGTTTGTACCACAGACCTTGTGGTTAGCAGCCAAATGCCTTACCCACTCTGCCACCAGAGCTCCTTAATGGACATAAAGTCTTTTTTAATTCTTATCATAAATAATATTTCAGTGAACATCCTTCACAA